ATTTCGGAAATATATACACAATAGATTTTATTAAATTTTTGTTTTAGAGCGTTCATTATTTTCTGTAATATTTTTAATAATAAAACCATTGTAGTGGCGACAAAATATAGATAGTTAGGTGTATAGAAAATATGGTATTGGAAACTGACAAACTGGGAATAGAAATGTTTTGAAATTGAATTCTAATCGTAATGGATAAATTCAACTTATTTTGAAGTCTATATTGTATATAATACAATATATACACACACAAACACTTTATAAAGCAGAAGTAACAATGTATGTTACTGAAATAGTGTTCTGAATCAAGGTTTCAATGGAATTCTTAGAAATGTTATATAACGTCAAATTTTATCAAGAAATGTATATTAAATACATAACATTATATACGTAATATTACAGACATTATAAATGTAGATKTTATAGAATGATAAATTCAGAATTGGTATAATAAATGTTTTATACAAAGAAAYTATGGATGATTTAATTATTGTATAAATGTAGTATAATGAGATTATCAGTTATAATAATAAGGTGGGTTTCATATTTAATTTACATTGATTTGGTGTAGATATATAAAATATATATTTTGTGTTTTAACGTGCAATTATCAATGTCAATTACAAAGATATAGGTTAGGTAGGTAAGGTAATATATGAATTAGAAATACAAATATTAATTCCTAAAAAAGTGAATTTTAATGTTTTTAATTCATCAAAGTGTATTTTATTTTGGCRGGTGCTCAATGTTATTAAGAGAACGATATTTTATTAAATATTGAATACAGCTAACACTTAATGTTCTCATTTCGACCAATAGAAACGGTATAGTAAAACGGTTTCACTAACTACTATGTGTAGAGAATAGGTACCATGAAATATATACTATCAAGTTAAAGGATCACATACACTGACAGGCTAAGATCAAAATATACGAGCATATCGTTATACAGGGTGATTCTTTTATCAAACAACACTTATTATTTAAAAAATTATTGACTTTTTTCAAAATATTTTTTTACATATATGAAAGTTTAGATTGGCAGAGTGGAGTGGTACGCGGTAACCCCGCAAAATTTTTGTCCACTACTCCGCTTGTCATTTTTTTATATGGTTGTAACTTGTAATTCAAAACCTAATCACTATAAATACTTGAAATTTTCGCAGTTTAATTTTMAAAAATTTTTGAAAACACGAAAATTTGCAAGTAATTTTGAAGTTGAAAAATCATAAAAATTTTTGTTTTTATAACTAAGGATTAAAAATACAACACTAAGTTTTCCATTAGTTTTCCTTTAAGTAGCTATAGAGAAAACTCGAAACATCATTATAGGAAAAATTTTAAGTGCGTTTGAATTTTAAATATTTAC